CATAATTGCAATTGCACGTAATAGATGGAAATTAATATGTCTCCCACGGGAAAGTATTTTAAAACACCATTAAGGGAATGTTTGCTTCTTAACTCCTTTATAAAATCCAAACTATTGGGAATATTATTAACCCCCTTCAGTCACTGTGTGCGTGTTGCCTCCCTTTGCCTTTTCTATAAATACTTCCTTGGTCATTGTTCGGGTGACCTCTTCGCTATGGTACCTAGACTCTTTGATTTTAAGCGCAGTACCAGACCATAACCTAATACGAACAGTTTCTTTTCTCGCACTTTTCACTTGTGAAACTCCGTTCCGGCTCCATGTTTTCCTGCCAACTTTAATCTGCAATAATTTAAATGCAATGCCAATCGATATCTGATGTCCTCCTAATTACTCTTCTTCTGTTCTCGCCCCTTAGCAATGTTTCTGTTTTTAACTCTTCGACATCCAGTAACCTCTTGTGTTTCAGTCGCTTTACTGCCTTACTTGGGGTGAACTCAATTAAAAAAGAACATTATATTTAGTGTGTGTGTGTGTGTGTGTGTGTGTGTGCTGGATGAAGTCGAAGCATAAAGTCATAAGATTAAAATGGCCACGTGTGAAGACAAATGAATTCTGCAGCAGGTAACTAGTCTGCCTCCTGGACTTTATCAAACTAAATCGGCTCCAAAAAGACTACATGTTGATTGGTCAAAAATAATTTTCCTTGTCTGATTGGTTGGAATGATCTATTTTCTGGTTAGTTAGAAAACACGGCGAACAAAATCCAAATTTTTCTCAGCTGTGTTCCAACTTTTGAGCAGAGTTTATGCCTATGTTGTCACGTGTTCTAAATTTAAAACAAATAATTACGTTGATGGCAACCTTCATTGTACACAAATTGAAAATTATTGAAAGGCCTATCGGAAGCTATAAAGAAAGAAAGAGTTAAAAAAAAATCCGAAAAAAAAACAAACGCCGAAATGTTTTATCAGCAGAACAGGAAGAGAAAATTCTACAGGAAGTAAATAAAAATCACACAGAAGATTTAAAGCGATTTTCCTTGTTGAAAGAAAAAGAGTAATAAGCAGTAATAATGGAGATTCAAATGGAACATCAACGAAAGGCAAAATGTTTTAAAAAATTAAATTGCAATCGAATATTAAATCATTGCTTGATAATGGCCTTGAAAAATGTTAAACCTGCCGGGAAGTGGGAGAAATTATTGGAGACAAATAGCTGCCTCATATCAGAAGATAGATTTTCAAAATGTACCATCAACCAAAACAAAAAATAATTAAAAAATCTCTTCGTCTATGTACAGTATCCTTTCATGACGTAAGAAAATCATTGCTCTCTACAGCTTCCTGTTTTTGTTGCTCGAAATAACATTAACTCTTTATAAGCCATCTTTGTTACTCTTCTGTCGTTCCAATACTCGCTACGCCGTTTCCCTCTGGTACTCTTGACTTATGGGTGTTAGTTTATCCAAACCCCTATTCTCTTTATGTATATCTGCTGTCTCTTGAAGGCCCTATTTTCCTTAAAATATCCTTATTGTCCATATGCACTTTTTATGGAATGCAAACTGTTAGTGGATCGATCCATATTTATGGCGCTTGAAGATTTTTATTCAATTGTGTCCGTATAAGAGACGAGATACTGCATTGCTTGTTATGTTGACCTCACAATAGCATATAACCATATCAATAGGGACTTCATGTTCTCATACATTAGTAACGATCCTCAAATCACCGACTCCTACTATTAATATCCATCAGATGAAACATGGTAATTGTTCGAATGAGCTCTTTGCTATGGTACCTAGACATTTCGTATTTAAGCACCGTACTAGGCTGGCCACGAAATCTCATCAATTTCAGCTGGCTAGATGTAATCGTAAATTATATGCTAACAGTTTCTTCCTTCTCGCAAGTGGACCCACTTCCGGTTCCGTGCTTTCCAGCCAACTTTAACCTGCAAAAATTGAAATGCAATGGCAATCGCTATCTACTGTCGCCCGGATTTCTCTTTTTTCTTCCCCATCATTATTAATGTTTCTTTTCATAATTCTTCCGCACCTTGTAACCCCTTATGTCTTAGTGACTTTACTGTCTTGCTTGGGGTGATACCATTAGAAAAACTATAGTGGTTCACACGAAATCGTACAGGTCTGACAAGAACCCCAATACCGTATTATTTCAAGCATGATAAGGTGTACGACAAAAAGAAAATGAGAGACCTTGTCTATTTAATTTTTTCCTACCATATGCCCTGTGCATATACAAACACAGATGTGAATAGACGAGCACAGAACATTTAAGAATTCCATACTACACATTCCACACCCTAAATGAATTTACCAATCGAAAACAGTGTCTCTGCTTTTTTTATTATAAAAATAATAAAAAAAACACAGAGGGGATTTAAAGCGATTATCTGTATTCACCCGTTGAAGTTTGTACTTATAAGCGTAGTTTGGATGTGTTACAAGTTCGAAAGTGATGATCGAAATCATTATTCAGTCATAATTAATCTAGAGAGACAAACTTGCTAACCATTACACTAGATTAATGTTTTACTTATATTTAAATGAAGAATAAATTTTGTGTGTTTCAGCTTATATCTAAACTCGTTTCAAATATTGACAATAGATTTTAGGAAAGGAAATGTGGAAGGCTTTATTCTAAAAACAAAATTTTATTTGTAACAAAAAAAAAAAAAAAAACGCTAAAAGATATTGGTAAGAGAAGCCTAAAATCCCTCATGCCTGAATAAATAATTTTATTATTTTACTTATTAAGATCTTGAACATTCGATAACCCATGTCAGCCGTTCAACCATTTAGTTAGTAAACCATTTATTTTAGTAAGTTTTAACTATTTCGATATTAACATAACTAGCAGGAACTGATATTACTTTGCTAAGATATTTGTTTTATTCCAGTCCTTACACACAAATGATAACTGCCACGTATTTACAGAAGACCATCTCTTCAACATTGAGCTAGCCGACATGAGGCTCGCAGACGACTTTGCAAGCAAGCCTCGCTCCTATATATATATTTTTTTAAACATGTGACACACGAAAAGCTTTTGGAGAACGTTGAAAGTGACTTTTATCTCATGCACTCTTGTACCGCGGCTTGGCATTTGAGAATCACTGCTCTAAATCGATATAAACATGGCCAGAAAAACCCTTTCAAGTCCATAGTATCAGATAGAGAATGTGTAACAACTAAGATCTTTTTTTCTAATCACATTCAGCTTAGGCAAAGAAAGTAAGTGAATTACATTCACTCTATATTCACTTCATACATACGAAATAAAGATTTTCACACAGCTTATATACTCATATGATTATATAGTTTGGCTGTTAAAACTTCAATATATCTGCTTTAAACATTATTCACATAGACGTAAATGATTCTTTTCAGCGAAACACAACATAATGATAGACATTAAAATTAATCTATTCATTGAACAATTTCTCTTTTTCAAAAATAACAATTACTTTTCAACATTTTCAATATCGAAAGACTTATGCATTTAATCAAACTTATTAAAAAAATTATTTTATCTTGTTTTTTTTTTCTGTTTAATCACCATTTTTTACTTGGTTGCAAAAATCTATTATTCCGTTCGTTATAACGACTACTTCTTCACGTCCAGTCTTCTGACAATAACATTGTATTGTTTGCATTTTAAAAGTATTTGTTTTGTTCTTCAAAAAATTATATATTATGTTTGGATCGAACAAAGTATGTTAATACCTGTAGTCTAAATACTTCATCAAGCTAAAATTGTTTCCAGACAAATTAGGAACAAATTGTGAACTTTCCAGTTTGGTTTGGTTTGGTTTATTTTACGGTATATCAGCCTCAATGGGTAAGTTATTGTCGACAGAATTTTTATTGGTGGTAATTTTTTTTCCTTCAAAAATGTATTGCGGGTAATTAGTTTTCCTCAAAAAATTTATTGCTGGTATTAGAACCTATTTTTACATTTTCATAGTGTTTTAACCCCAGTTTGAGGTTAACTATTTGCCAATAGTTTAGAGCCTAACAGGTGCTACAACCCTGGGTCAGGGTGGATCTGGGAACACTAGCAATTAAGCGGTGGTTCTACGCTCCTCAAAACCTCCCGATCTGAAGCCTTGCTGTCGGATATAGTTTATCATCTTACCCAGGAAGCTGATGTAATTTATCGGCTTACCCAAGACGCGAATGTGATTTATCGTCATACCCAGGACAGTGAACTTTCCGGGAAAATAAAGAAATTGTATTTTAAGTGTGCAATTAGGAATCTCGACGAGTAGAAGGTTTTTTTTTAACTGACTTAGTCGAGTATGGCACAAGGTCAAATAGAAGTGAACAAGATTGTATATATGCATATCTTCAAAATGGAAATTGCCGGCCTTCGTAGAAAATATGCATTCGAAATACTTATTTTATCTGAACTCGAATTCAGACTTCTAAAACCAGATACAACTATGCTCACCATTAAAGGAGCCTTAAATAGATATTGATTAGGTGAGTTTGACACAAGACTCCAATTTTGGGGAGTCTAGAGAAAGTCAAACATACTACGCTAAGGAGATTCTATTTACGACCAGATAGTCTCGCACAACGCCACTAGTTTGTAGTAATAACTAAGGATTGCACTAGCTACAACAGAAATGCTTTGCTAGACAACTGATAGTTGATTTCAAGTCAGCGTTTTGTCTAACACAATGCTTGCCATTCAGGTTCTACGTTAGGCTTGAACTCGCATCAGTTTTGTGTAACTAAAGATTTTTTTTCCACAGTACGGCATGTTCTACTTCTTTAGTAGTCTTTATCTTTATATATAAGAGACAATAAGTGAATCAGTGAGGTCTGAACATCAGTAATATTCAGCTAGACTAATTTGTTAACTAGTGAAATATGGAGAGACGGACATATCTACTACGCTTAGCTAAATATGAAAAGTTCCTGTTTGTTGGAGGATAGGCACTTGTTAATTCGTCAGGTTTCTTAAATTCTACCGAGGAGCGACCAAATAGCGAGGGAGTAGCAACCGAGGAGCGACAGAAGACCGACCGAGGAACGACCGATGAGCAAACGAGTAGCGACCGATGAGCAAACAGGTAGCGACCAAAGAGCGAACTAAGAGCGACCGAGTAATGATCGAGTAGCAACCGAAGAACGACCGAAGAACAACGGAGTAGCAACCGAGGAACGACCGAAAAGCAACCTGGGGGCGAACGAAGAGCGACGAAGTAGCGACTAAGTAACTACCGAAGAGTACCGAGAGGCGACCGAAGAGCGACCAAAGAGCAAACTAAAAGCGACCAAGTAATGACCGAGTAGCAACCGAGGAACGACCAAAGCACAACGGAGTAGCAACCGATTAACGACCGAAAAGTAACCTGGGGGCGAACGAAGAGCGACGAAGTAGCGACCAAGAAACGACCGAAGAGTATCGAGGGGCGACCGAAGAACGATCAAAGAGCGAACTAAGAGCGACGGATTAGCGACTGAGTAATGACCGAGTAGCAACCGAAGAGCAGCCGAGGGACGACTGAAGTACAACGGAGTAGCAACCGATGAACGACCGAAAAGCAACCTGGCGGCGAACGAAGAGCGACGAAGTAGCGACCAAGTAACTACTGAAGAGTACTGAGGGGCGACTGAAGAGCGAACTAAAAGCGCCCGAGTAATGACCGAGTAGCAACCGAGGAACGACCAAAGCACAACGGAGTAGCAACCGATTAACGACCGCAAAGCAACCTGGGGGCAAATGAAGTGCGACGGAGTAGCGACCAAGTAACTACCGAAGAGTACCGAGGGGCGACCAAAGAGCGATCAAAGAGCGAACTAAGAGTGACTGAGTAATGACCGAGGGGCCGCCGAAGAGGAACTAAAGATTGACGTATTAGCGACCGAGTAATGACCGAGTAGCAACCGAGCAGCGATCGAAGAGCGATGGATTAGTGACCAAGCAACCGGCGATCTACCGGAAATGACCGCGTAGCGACCGAAGATCAACCGAGATGCGACCAAGTAACACCTGAGTAGCAAACAAAGAGCGACCGAGTAGTGACCGAAGAGCAACCGGAGTGGCTGAGGAACAATCGAGATGCGACCGAACAGCGACCAAATCTTAAGCAAAATGGTCGTAATGTATGAAAAACAGAAAGTGTCAATTTAAACAATAGCATACTGACGTCATTTTAAACCGATATTTTTATATATATATATATATATATATATATATATATATATATATATATATATATTTAAAACTATAATTTTGGTAAGAGAAACTGCCAGTGTAATATGTTGAAGAATTTCAGATTTTTCATTTGAACTCAAGGAAACGCAAAATTTAAGCAAAATAATCACAATATATATGAAAATAAAAGAAGTCATCGGTGTTAGGAATAAACTTCTGGCGTCAGTTTAAACTGTCATCTTTTTCTATCCCGATACATAAACTATAATATATCTGTATCTATAAATCTGGATCTATGTGTGTGTGTGTGTGTGTGTGTGCAGGATGTGTGTGTGTGTGTGTGTGTAACCAATGCACGGCCGCAATTTTCGACGAATTTGCACCAAAATTTACATGCACATGCTCCAAGTTAGTGGAAAAGCCAAGACCGACTTTGCATTTCCCAACTCCCATCGATAGTGGAAATAATCGATTTTTTCATGCTTCTACGGCAGTTTTTATGTAGTTTGCAGCCATTTTCTACTAACCAGAGTGAGAGCCTATAGCTGGCTGCCACAAATAGGCAGGAAGATAGTATTGACCAGCGTGAGAGCCAACAGCTGACTGACACGAATGTTAACTAGCATGCTAGCATGCAAAAAAAAAATCAATAGCTGCATTTATCACAAGTGGGAAAAATTTAAATCTGCATGGCACTTTACTCCAATTGGCTCATTCGCTTGCTTAAACTCAACGTTGATTCTGATTCCGCAGAACTGGGTTAGGTGTGAAAAATTATTTGTTGTTAACATTTTTTTTCATTCGGTTTTTCCAGTTATGAGTCCTTTTTTAAAGCTGATCGTTTTGTGTTCATTTTGTTTAGTTCTTTTTTCTTAACAGATTTAATGTTTAGTATAGAGCTTAGAAAAAATTCGCAGTGTGAGATAGGCAAGAAGTAAGGCATGTAGCAACATCAACACGGCAAAGGGCACTCTTTTAAAGGCAAGGAAGGGCAAAAATATTTTAAGTCAAGTGATAGCGATTGGTGTATGATTTTTGAATCAAGCACGGGCAACGCCGGGCCATGCTTCTAGTCTATATATAAAAATCTGTTAGTCCATCCATCACACTCTCTAAAATAGCCATACATTGACCGATCGAAGCCAAATATTTGGGAGAAGTGTAAACTGGTAAGGGGGGTACAAACTACAGTTGGTTTTACTAGTGTGCGTAGTTTAGTACAATAAATTTTCATTACCTTTTTGGGGGAAAATTAAAAGTTTTATTATTTAAAATACAAATTATCTTTAATATTTTATCTTGAAGTTCTATAAAATTAAATTAAACCATGATGTCGGGTCTTTGCTATTTCCCCAAACAAATCAGATTATTCAAATGTCCTTGATTGGTTTGTGAAATTGAACGAAACGTAGTGTTTGTAAATGTCGACGAAAATGTTAATAACTTAAACAATACTAAATAATGTGAGGATTTCTCCACGTTTTGCAAAAAACATTAAACTATAATTTTAGAAAGTGAAAAGTTCAATGGAAATTGTAGAACAATTTCCAAGTTTTCATTTGAAATCACGAAAATACAAACTCATGGTCAAGAAATATGGAAAAAAATGAAGATGTCATTTAAGTTGGTGGATATAGTTGAAAAGAAATTAGATATAAGTAATTGAATTTACAGTCTTTCTCATTTTGTCGTTTCATTGTGACGCTGGCCAATAAATCCAATTCATACATTTTGTATGAACTACAAAAATAGTTTATATTTAATTGCGTCTGTCACTAAAATCAATGAATTATACAAAAAGCAATTTCATATAAACATTATTTTTTCGCGTTTGAATTTTTTGTGACACTCTTGTCTGTTACGACTGAATAATGCCGGTTCCTGCTAACTTCCATAGTTGCAAGCCTCGTGTGTATTAATTCGCAAATGAACGTTATACTCACCTGGTGCACGATATTCATTGCCTTGTGTAAAAATAACTCACTATTGGTTGATGCAATGATTCTGTCATGAACTATTCCCTGTTTCCCCTTGTGTGTCGAGATTTAAAAACTTAATGTCTAGTTGCGAGAGGAGATACGACCCTAATCGATACTATCCCATTGTATTAAGTGGAGTGTGATCATGGCATTCCCTGATGTCTGTGTTCCAAATGTTAAATCATACGGTTCTGAGTAATCTTTGCCTCTCATTTGCCCAGACGTTTGGGCACCTCGGTGTGGTGTAATGGTTAGCAAGTTGGTCTTGCTAGAACAAGAGCGAGTGTGTAGTGTTCGATCCTCATTGCATTAATCAACGTGTACATTAAAAACTGAGACAAATATATGGAAGCCTGTCTATGACACAATTTCTTAAAAGCCAGTTTTACAGAACACTACATATATAATCAGTTTGATCCACACTGTATATTCTCTACTGGTGTCATTAGGTCAGGTCTCTTGCGTTAGACTTCATTTGGCCGTGAGTAAAACGTATCTATTCTTTTTCAGTGAAAATCGTGAAGCGGTTCCCAATAAAATTAGAATTAGATAATGCAAGTTATCTCCCCTAATATTGACAGCAAAAAAAGGAACAATATTCGTCCTTGGATTGAATATAAATTTTTGTTCAACAATCGCAGAAGATAGCCGAATATAAGAGACAACTGGAGAAATCTTTAGAATTACTTCAAGCAAGTTGAGGATATTCGTCCGAATTGATTGAGTTTTAACCTATATTCTCTTAGCAACCGAATAAACCAGTGTTTCTCAGCTTTTCTCACGACAGTGTACACTTGTAGAATAACTAAAACTCTGGGTCGCACATTAAATTTTAATAAGTCAAAATTAGTCATGAAATTTGAAAATATGTAATTTTGACTTCGTATTCCCATAGATTAACGGCATACTTTTCATTTAAACGGATTCATGAATAATCTGCTATTTTTTTTTTTTTTAGACAGGACGATAGTGACTGATTTTAATCTCTTGAGGAAAGCAAAAGAGAAAGGATTATCCACTCCTTCTCAAAGATTAAGGGATTTAGCATCCAGTTTAGAATATCAATGTACATAAATTTGACTTAAACATGGAAGCCATGTGTTTGATGTCTCGAGCTTTTTAAAAATAAAGTTTCTTTTTTTTTAATGTACAAATAATTCATAAATTAAACTTCTGTTAACTTGGGGCGCATCTGGATACTTTGGGGGGCGCATTAGTGAGCCCGGGCGTATCGATTTGAGAAGCGCTGGTAAAAACAGACAACAGGCGGATAAAAGTTCTAACCTAAATCTGTCATTTTTTTTCATGTGTCTAAAATATAAATATAATCTTCCAATATGTTGGAAACTTTCCAAGTTCATCAAAAATCAAGATTAAGCAAAGTGGTCATACTTTACGGGAAAACCAGAATTCGTCTGTTTAAACTGAAGCCATGAGGATATGTACCGATAATAATCATTTATCATCACAAGAAGCAGTTATGCGTCTACAAATTTCTAGAAGGTCCGTTGTCAGTGACTTCAACTAAAGGGAGATAATCTCCTGGAAAAAAATAAGTGTTAAGTAAAAAGAAAAAACACCCCAGGCGACTGAAGAGACATGAATAAAACACATTTGTTCATAACAAACAAAATATGGACACTCATTTGAATCGATTAATGTAATTATAACAACCAATATATCTATTCTAATGACGCCACTCACCTTTCACAAAACAAAAGCCAGAAATCTTTACAGATGCATAAATAAATGGCTGCTATCATTAGAAGTATGACCTGACTGCCGAGGTAATTTTTCAAGGTAATTTATTGAAATAACTTCATGACAGCCCGGCGGGAGTCAAATAAGTAACCGAAGACATTGTGGCAAGTCAACAAAGAGAGGTTTGTCTCATACATCAATGACTTAAGTGGTTTTCTCAGGAAATGTTGACGAGGACGCATTCATAAAATTTATATGAAGCATAATGGTGTTTGCCTTGGCAAGGAGAGGATTTTTGTGGGGGTGCTTGTGATAATATCGCAAAGCATGATTGAATGAAGTATATTACTTTATTTTTAAGCCTTTAGTTATGGCCGAGTGGTTAGAATGTTCACATTCCCATTTAAGCCCCGAGTTCGAATTTCATCATGTCCTGCAGAGGCGATCACAGTGTGCAGAACATTTGGGAAATGACTTCTGTAAATGTAAAAATGCCCATTCTTCCAGGTCCACAAAAAAAATCAACCAAGAGATTTCGATGTGACTAAAATCGTGATTTCTTATATTAAAAAACGTGATCTTTATACAAGTACCCAATAGTGTGCAGAATGGGGGGGACAGAGGTTACAACGAGCATCCAATGAAAGAATGAAATAAAAATATAGTTTATATCTAATTTGAATAAAGTGTTTACATCATGTTTCATCTGTTTTTACGTATTTAAAATGTCATCCTTTCCCAGCACTAGGCCCTATAGGACCCTTTAATTGAATCTTAGGGGCATATAATCAAGGAGATGGCTCTGGGCACCACCAAACATTATCAAACCTCTGCACGTTACTGCAGGCATCTAAAATTGTGGATGAATTAATTCCATTCATAAAAAAAGGATTTTAATTGTGACATAAGACAGCAAAAACCATGACAGTAGAGAAAGTACACATCTGTTCTCGGATCTTTGTTTGAAAATGTATTATTTGTCGAAACATTTCATACTGGTAGTCCATTAGACTATCATTGTCAAATTATTCTAACCCTTAAATATATTCTTTTTTTTTTCAGGCATTTCAGGCTCACAGATTAAATTCCTTGACATTGAATCAATTATAATCAGGGTATTAGCAAAAAAAAAAAAGTGGTTAAAAGATTGACCGAATTTTATGAAATTCTGCTTTCTAAAAGCTAAAAAATAATTCTTCGATTCTGTTTGTCGGTTCCGAGTTAAGATAAATCCATCAGGCAGATTTTTGAAATTCAAAAAAAGGTTGTAATTGTTTAGAATAATTTTGTTAGTGTATCTAATCTGAATAAGCTACAGAGACAATTATACAAAACAACGAAAAATGGAAGAACAGAAACGAAAAATGGAAATAAAATAATGAGAGTGGAATATGCGCATGAAAAAAAAAAACAGGGAATTAAAAAGAATGGAAAATAAGGAAAACAAATGATAAAAGAAAAAAATGGGATTAAAAAACAGGAAAATAAGCAGAGAAAAGAAAGAACGAAAGAACTTGTTACAATGCTTGCAGCAGTGAAAAGATGTGAGAAAATGGGATAGGAAAAGATGTGAGAAAATGGGATAGGAAAAGATGTGAGAAAATGGGATAGGAAAAGAGAGTTTAAGGAACACTTAGAAAAAACAAAATAAAAACACAGCAAAGCGGATTATTATTGCCCAGTTAAATTAGATTACCCGGGAAAATATTTATAAAATTCATTGATATTTTTTTTTCATCTTAAACAAGGGAAAGAAAATAAACAAGGACCTGGAATTTCCATTTAAAAAAAAAAAAAGCAAACACATCCGGGAAAAAAAAATTTTCAATTCGCCCAATGACAATGCAGGAAACACCAAAAGAAAGTTAGCGTCAAACATTTAAACTCTTTTATTATTCAAAGACTTTTCACACCAACACAATCTATTGACTTGTACTCGAGACTAAGCGACACTAATCTCTGAAAAAAAAAAAACTTATTTCAAATGCTTACGTGTTTTCCGTTCATATTCAGAGTTCGAATCAAGGTTAAAAAATAAAAAATAAAAAGGAATTTCCCATTCTGATCCGTCCTTGGTATGACAATATACTACATCCGCGTCCTAAGTAATACGATAAACTACGTCCAACAGTAAGGCCTCTGATCGTGAGGTTTTGAGGAGCGTGGAACCACCTCTTAAATGCTGGTGTTCCCAGGTCCAACCATGACCCGGGATGGTAGCACCTGTTAGCGTCCCAACTATGGACAAATAGTTAACCCCGAAACTGAGGTAAAAAGCATTATGAAAGTGTAAAAAATAGGTTTTAATACCAGAAATACTTTGTAAAAAATTATTACCAGAAATAATTTTTTGAAGAAAAAAAACTATTATCAGCAATATGGTTTTGAAAAATATTACCAGCGATACGTTTTTAAAAAAAATTATTACCAGCAATACATTTTAAAAATAATATTACCAGCTATACATTTTTAAGGAAAAAATAGTACGAGAAATAGATTTTTGACAAAACACAATATTACCAGGAAAAAAAAGTTGTCGGCATTAAATAAACCATTAAGGCTGATATGTCGTAAAACAAACCAAACCAATTCAATTCTGATTTTTTGGCTTATCCTCCTGTGATACAGAGAAGCAATACTGTCTGCGAATGACATAATTTAGCTCATTGAGCACTGATGAGTGATAAGCTGATCCTATAAATAACAGCAACCTGCACTAAGGCAAAGCTCTTCAGTAAAATGAATGGAGCACTTCGGCTGATTGGCATTTGTTTAAATTCGTAAAAACAATACACCAGATTTAGATGGGTAACTACGCTGAGTGAAGAGAGCTCAGTGGTACAAGCTCTGACTGACACAAAATCAGTTGGGTTTCGATGCTGGCTTGAAGCATCAGATGTTTAATCGTACTAAGGAGCTGCGAAACAGTACTGTCTGCGAATGATATATATATATATATATATATATATATATTTCATTTACAGATACTATCACTTGATAAAACACCAGAAGTGTTGAAACAAAATAGCTATTTTTGTAGTGATTTCATGTTATAATGTTATAATTTTCGTGTATTTAGACAGCAATCCTTCTTTCATGCACATTTCATTGAATACGCCAGACAAGGTGCTTTGGTTTAGTTTTTTTATGCAATTTCTCATGGGATCTATTTTTTTTATTTTCGGATGATAAATTATATAAAAACTGTCCAATTGTGAAAATAAAAGGAAAATCCTACAGTTTTTATATAACTTATCATCCGAAAAGAAAAGAATTATTAG